AATTCTATGAGGCTGTTTATTATAGTAATTTCCTTGAATTTATCATCAATCTATATTTGATTATAGGCAGATTTTAAATCAATTTTCGCAAAAAATTTCATGCCTAATAATTTATGGATAGGGGTTTTGATATTGGAAATAGGGAATGAATCTGAGCATATTTTATGATTTATATCTATTTTAAAATCACCACTGTCTTAAGTCTCCATTTGAATTTTGCAAAACTACAATGGGAGAGACCCATTTACTCACCTGGAACAACATGCTTTAAAATTCCCTCCTCTACCATTTTCTTGGCAACCTTTTAAAAGTTGAAGTGGATTCAAAATAGGAAGAGGTACTATTTTCATTTAATTGTATGCTTACTTTATACCTCTTCAACACTCCCATTTTTTTTTCTGATTTTACAGTATTGATTAATTTTTACATATCCACCTTCTAGAACATCTATTACTAGTAGTCCATGAATTTTTTTACATTCCAGTACTATAATGGGAATAATTTCAAATTGGTCACAGGTTTGAAAATTTCCATTGAAGCAGCCCAGTTAAAAGATCCATTGCAGCAGCCCATAAAAGATCCATTGAATTGTCTCAATTTTAGATGACAAAAATCAAATTACCCAATTGATTGGAGTATGCTATAATAGAAAATTATTATTTTCATTATAGAATCACCCCTGTCAAAGCTATGAAGAGGTTGGTTATTTCATTTTTACCTCCTTTTTACCTATTTTTTAGCCCTAGCCTGGGCTGCAAAATACTGGATTCAAGTCTCCACAAATTCTGGTTCATCCAAGTGACTTAAATATCCCATTGATGATGACATATTGTTGTATAGTGTTGTTATATGGCACGTGTTCAGTAGTCAACTTTCTCCCAGTTGACTTTTTATTCTATATTTTATCTCTCAATCCAATTACAACCCCTTTCTTTTTTCTCAAAAAATGTAGCAGAATCAACATGAACTTTGTCCCCGCTGGGCAGCTATTTCTTAGATTTCTCTCTCTCTCTCTCTCTCTCTCTTCTTAATAGCAAAGCCTATGTTTTTTTCCCCCCTCCTCCTTAGCTATCTGTATACACAATAGTATATTTTTTTCTTCATGGATTGGTATTTGTTTTATATATAAAATTCTTTCACGTGTTGTAATTTATATCCTTCTAAAAATATTGAATTTAATTTCATTGAAAGTTCTCAACCTCAACTGCATTCCAATACAAACCTGTTGACACTCATTCTTCTATAACATTTTTGGCAAGATGGACAATAGTCAGTATTGCAGAATATATAAAGGACCATATTTTTGGAAATTTGACAATTCTTGTAGCATTTAGCTACACCATTAAAATGCTTATAGAAATAAACATTGTGGTTCACTGAAGTGATGATTGCTAAGGAAAATTCATCCAAAAGTTAATATTTGTTTGCTTGAGTATCACATGCAAAATATGACAAACTATATTTTGAGCTTTCCTTATGTATGTGATGAAAACCTGCTGAAATGTATGAACTTCATTGGATTGCTGAAGTAGGGCTGAGCAAAAATGTCAAAAGTAAAACAAATCATGGCTAGTAACATATTTGTTATAATTAATTGAGACACTTTCAATACATTAAAATAATCTGTTTTGTAATGTGTGTTTTTTTTTTTTTTTTTTTTTTTTTGACCTCTTATTTTTAAAATGTCTAAATCCTTACATCAAAAGCAGATTATCATTATCCAACTTATAGTTACCTTTACAGTAATATTTTAATTGTGGGCTGAACATGTTTTGTTGTCAATAAAAATGAACATAGGAGTTTTGTATTAATTACGGCTTAAATAAAACAGTAGTAACTAATTAAAAAAAAAAGTTTGATGCTTCCATTTTAATTATCTTATAAGTTGATTTTTAGAAGAACATTTAGTAAAATTTATTTCCCAAATGAGAAAATTGTCTATATATTTGTAAATGTCTTAATTTTTATTTCTCAATAATTTTGTACTTCTATTTGTTGGACTGTCATTGTTTTATTTTTATTTAGTTTATGTATCCATATATTTATTGAGCAGTTGAAATTTCCACTCAGTGACATACAAGACTAAAGTGCAAAGTAGCACATTATTCAATCTAACTTTGTCCACATTTGATGTTTTAAAAAAATAAAAAATTATAAAGCCTATTTTAAGAGATTCATTTTCTTTTAAAAAGTATATTTCTTGTTCTTTTCTGCTCATTTTGAATAGTTCTGGTCCTGTAAAAAAAACAAAAAAAACCATTTTGTATGATTTAATAATGATGGTGTTTCAGTCTTGTTAATTTTTGGGTATTGAGCCACATTATTGAATGTCTTTCATTTATGGATCTTTATGTAGTTAGGTAACTTATGGCAGTAGTCAGCATTTTTTAGAAGCATTGTCAGAAGATATGAACAAGTATATTATCGAAGATTAGAAATTTGATAGATTATTACAGAGTTGTTTTAAATGTTTTTTTAAAGTAATTTAGTATTTGCTAATATCTTCTTTATGCATCATGTAGGCGATCATGGCTCTCCACAACTTCCTGTCCCTTGTAGCTCTTAATAAATTTTGTCTTTATTTCTCCTAAACTTTTTTCCACCATGCATTTACTCAAGCTTGCTAAGTATGTCATGTGATGTTTTCCTCTGTTCCTCTTGCCTTCAGTCTGTCTTGTGGGTATCAGATTTTCCAAGTTCTCTCTTCTCATTATGTGCCCTAGAAACTTGATGTTAAGTATAAGTTTGCTTTTGTTTCCATTTTCTCTAAAACTTTGTTGTTGCTCACATGTTCGGTCCGTGGTATCTTAAGCATTCTTCTGAAGAACCACATTTCTGTTGCTTGAAGCCTCGTCTTTATCTTTGAGGAGATTGTCCAGCACACATTTCCATACATGAGGACATATAAAAATTTAGTACCCTTTTCTTTGTTTCTAGTGAAATTTTTCTATTTCTCAGTACTCTGCTTAGCTTTTGAAGGGCATCTTTGGCTATCCCAGTGTCATCGGATTTCAATGTCACACTTTCCATCCTCTGTTAAAACAATTCTTAGATATTTAAACTTCTGCACTTGTTTTGATTTTGCAATTCACATTTTGGGCTCCTTCTTTTGCTAACAACCATGCATTCTATTTTCTTGCAGTTGATGTTTAATCTTTTCTTCTCACTTTTGTTCACTACCTTCTGTAGGAGATTTTTTTTTTTTTTTTACTGTGTCTGCTATCAACACTGTCATTTGCATATTTTATGTTAAGGTTGTGGCCGCCAATAATGAATCCTGATAGGACTTCTTGTTTTCTCAGAATCACCTTGCTGTACAAGTTAAATAAGTCTGGTGAGAAGATACATCCTTGTCTTACACCCCTTATGTTTTTGTATATCTGCTGAACTCATTTTCTATCTGTATTTAGGTGGTTTGCTGCCAGTATAGGTTCTTGATAATTCTAATATCCTTCACAAATATATCAAGATTGTTGAGCAGTTCCAATAGATCTTTGTGGCATACTTTATCAAACACATTTACATAATCTATAAAACACTGGTACATGTCCTTCTGCATTTGTATTGCTCTTTCTGATAACATTCTGAGCATAAATTCCTTGTTCCAGTGTCTTTAACAAACCCGTACTGTTCTTGTCCTATTTCTGGTCTGATTCTGCTGCATGCTCTATTCATTAGAATTTATATGATTTTCATTATATGGCTCATTAGGCTGATTGTGTGATGAAGTTCACATTCATTTGCACCTAGCTTCTTAGGCAGTGATATGAAAATAGATCTATTTAGGTTGAGAACTTCCACTGTTGTAGATTTAATTATTTCTGTAATCTTATCTATGCAGAAGTAGTCCAAGGCTGCCAGCATCTCTATTACAATTCTGTCTGGCCTGATTATAATTTGTGATTTGCAATGGGACTTGGCATTATTTAATGTTGAATATTTTTAAAAAGGACTGAACTTTTAATAATTCATTTCACTACATTTTAAAATTAAAAATTAAAATCTTAAGAATGATATCTTTTTATTTTAAAGTAAACTTTTGAAAACGATTTAAAAAAAAAATGTTTTGTAGGTTCAATTAAAGACTAAGTCACTAAAATACATTTTGTAATTTGGTCTTTGTGTAGAATATTTATTTTTGTATTCAAGTACTAGTAAATATTAAATGTATTGTGCTTATATTTAATTTTATAAAAGATTGACAAGTTTATTCTGTGAAGTGGTGCTTGAAAATTCTCAACCTTTCTCCCACCAAAAAAAAATTCTAATATTTGGTTATTTTGTCAGATTTTAGGATTGCTTGATTTGTTTGCCTTATAAATATTATAAATCCTTTGTGGATTATTTAAAGTCGTGATATATTTTCTGGATTGTAAGAATTTTTTGCAAGCCAAGCCAATCTAGGTTAGAATACCCTTGCTGTAGAGATTGAATAAATCTGGTGAGAAGATACATGCTTGTCTTATGCCCCTTTCTATTTTTGTGTGCCCACTCAATTTATTATTTCAGCAATCCTTTCATTTTATATATATATATATATATATATATATATATATATATATATATATATATATATATAACAAAACATATATTAAGATAAGAATGTTCATTTTTTTTTTTTTTTTTTTAACCCCATTTCATATATTCTTTGTTACTTAATAGTTTCTCTCTCTATGTATGTATATACATACACACCTTTAAAATATATACTATCAAAATTAATATAATTAAAAAAAACTTCATTATTTATATTTTTAATATTCATTAGTATTTTGAGCAATCAATGTGGAATGAATTCAGTAGTAACTCTGTAAAGCAATAGTTTTCATATTTCAGTACATTACTAATCTTATTTGAATCCTTAAAATATATTTGGGCATCTCTTAAGAATTGGTTTGGATTTGAAAAGTCATATCCAATTTGATGAGTAAGAAAGCTATTCATTATTTTTTATAATATTGTATTATTACTTCATTATTTATTTATTTTTTGCTTTTCAGCTGATAAAGACTTTGATGATTGCTATTCTTTTCCATGTAAGAACCAAGGAACTTGTGTGGATCAGTATAAAAATTATACCTGCAATTGTCTGCCAATATACAGTGGCAGAAACTGTGAAGATGACCTCAGTAAGTTCTTTTTGTTTTCCTTTTCTCTGTTCTGATTCTGTCTGGTGGATAAAATGAGTAAAAGCCTTGTAGAAGAATATAAAGTCGCTAAGGTGCGAACAATAATACAAGTTCTTCAAGGACCCAAAAGTAGCAGGAGCAAATATTGAGGTTTACACTGCGAGGAAATGGAACACTGTAAAGGAGTTGAAAGTGGCAGAAGAGCACCTTCGTGAAAAAGTGGTGCTGGGCACTGTCGCCATGAGTTGGGCTGGGTTTCTTTCCTACTGTTAGAATCAACAAAGTCGTAAGTAAGGAAAAACACCAACTCTTACTGGACGAAATTCGTGCAGGGGAAGAGGAAATGAGAGTAGCAAAGATGATTGGGTTTAAACAACAAGGTTCATGGACAAAATGGGAGACAATGATACCTAGGAAAGTTGGATGGTCAGATCTATGGCGTAACGATTTGGGCATAACCGTTTTGATCCGATCTGTTTATGACCTTCTACCAAGCCCCGTTAACCTACAATTATGGACTAAATCAGAATTGCCCTCATGCCCCCTATGTGGTCAAATAGGTTCTTTAAAACATATACTTAGTAACTGCAAATCAGCCCTAGCTGATAGTAGGTATAGATGGCTCCATGATCAAATATTAAAAGAAATAGCAGAAGTCGTTAATACAGCCATCCGTGCAAACAAACCGAATCCAAACATGAATGTTATAAATTTTATTAAAGCTGGCGCGAAACTGAACCCAAAGAAAATGACCGCACCAAATTGTTTATCATGTGCAACAGACTGGGAACTTAGACTGGATCTAGGTAAAAGGCTAAATTTCCCCGATCACATTTCCAAGACCCGATTGCGTCCAGACCTAGTCCTCTTTTCAAATAAACTAAAGAAAATCATCATGTGGGAACTAACAGTCTGTTATGAGGATAATGCAGAATGGCTTCCAGTGAAAGGAAAAAAAACTAAAATACGATGAATTACTGGAAAGTTGTAGGAACAATGGATGGAAGGCAAGCTGCAAGACAATTGAAGTAGGCACAAGGGGTTTTGTGGCAAAATCACTAGTCAGCGCCTTAACAGATATTGGGATAGTGGGAACAAAAAAATGAAAGGCTATCCAAACCATTACTGAGACTGCAGAAAGAACAGCTAAATGGTTATGGCTAAGACGAGCAAGTGCCTGAACATGCAAACTGGGAAAAGCCTAAATTAATGTAAATTTTACGCAGAGTGTAACTTTTTAAACCTGATTGTATATTAGATGTAAATAGTGTAAAGATATGCCACAACTTTTAACTAACTAGAAATGGCGTGATCGGTTTGTAAATACGTATAATCGAAAACAGTTGTTTTTTTTTTTTTTTTTGTTTTTTACACAGTTCGTTCGTCAGCCATTGTAAATAATACATACAAACCTTCAAAGGAAAGGAGGAAGGAAAGCATTTTCGTTTCATTCTATATTTTATTCTACTTATATTTTCCTTATTTATTTATTGTCATTCTTTTTTTTTTTCTACAATTCTCGTGTTAACAGTTCAGCTCTTTATTTACCCATTTAACATACGCTATTTTACTTATTATTTCATGTTATTTATTTTCATTTTTGCATAAATGTTGAATTATTTCGCATAACCATTATTATCCCAATACCCTAGCATCTTGAATAATTGCATAACATCATAACGTTCAAAAGAGGTCTAGTTTCGATAGTCTTTCCCCCATTTTCATTCTTTATTACTGAATAGAAATCTCCTGAGCTTTGGCTTCCAATTGACCTTATTTTCCTTTTTCTCTCTCCCCAACTATTTGACTTTATGCAAAACATGATTGATCACGACTTTCTCACCAATATTATTTTTTTTTTTTACCCCTCTTCCCGTTTCTTTTTTTTTTTTTCTAACGATCTAAAAACATAAATTTCATTTTATAATCAATAGATCAAAGGGTTTTTTACTTTTTTTTTACTTTATTCCTAGTCATAGGAATAGCTTAACTATGGCTGTCTTTTCTTTTTTTTTTTTAAACCTATAGTAAATTATGTTTGTTGTTAATAATGTTGCCTAACTAAGAAAAAAAAAAATTCTGTTTGGTCATTTGGTCAGAATTTGGGTTGACTAAATCACTAAAATTTTTAATTCTTTCGTAGTTCAGCTGAGAACTTTGCAACACCTTCTCGTGTACGAACCATGAGTATGAACAATATGAAGAGAAATATTGGTGACTTATTAATTTTGGTCATTTTTGCTTGCATCAAATCAATCTATATTTTGTAATTACAACCATTTATAGAAAATTAGGTACTTTAGACCACTCACTTATTATATTTGTTTTACAAATTTGTATGTTTGGTCCTGATGTAGATTGAGGTTAATGTCTTTTTGCTTATTTTATTTCTCTACACAATATATGCTTTGTTTGTTTGTTTGTTTTTTTTTTTTTGTTTTAATTTTTTCCTCCGTTACTGAAAATTAAATTGTAATGTTAAACCTTGATAATGTGCATCTATTGGTAGGAGAATAATTTAACTTTTTAAAAATTCTACAATTCATAACAATATAGTTTAAGAAAGTTTTTAATTACATAAAACCAAATTATTCAAAATGCCAGATTTAAATTCAAGAGCCTGAATACATATTAAAGCTTTGGTCATTTGAAGAGTAGTATACAAGTAAAATCATTGGTTTACATGCAGCATGTCAGAAAATGGGAAGAGCATGTTGAGTTCAAATTCCATCTGTGACCATTGTATTCAACTTTTTCACAAATACCTTTGGTGAAAGGTATGGCTCCATTACTTCTTACCCCAGCTATAGGATCTCTACTTGGGTTAGCAAAAAGTCAAGAACAGCAATTCTCAATTCAAAACATGTTGGGTGTGAGACTTCCCTGTAAAAACCTACTTACTACAGAAACCATGGCTGTGGGGTAGTGGGGCTGTGAATCTTAAATAGTTAACAACAATCATACAAATAAAATCAGTCATAGGAAAATATTGATATAGGGAAATTACCTATGTCAGAAAAAATATCTTCTATTTTTCAGTCATGATTATTTTTTAACTATTAACAACAAAACCTATAGAAATCTTCCCTGAAATTGTATTTTAGTTAATAGTCAATAGTTAATAGTCAATAGTCAATAGTTAATAGTCAATAGTTAATAGTCAATAGTTAATAGTCAATAGTTAATAGTCAATAGTACATTTTAAAATTATAGAACATTTATAAAAGTTATTAAAGTTCACTTGGGTAAATTTTATTGAGATTGAAATTTAAAATAAATTCTCATGGAAATGTTGCAGAGGGTATCTTAATCAAACCAAAAGGTCAGCAGTATCTTCACAATATGAATTATTATTGATGTGTAACCAGAAGAAAGTCACTTATTAAATCACCTTAATATTTATCAGTGGAAGAAAGAGAAAAAAAATAGTGGCTCATTGAAGTGGTGGTTAGAACCTTGGAACTTTGGCACACTGTTATCTTTTCAAATCAACCCCCTTTTGCTTAATTTTTATGTTTGTATATGGTAAATGCCTAATTAAGAATTTTGTTTCAACTATATGTTATCTACTATCAAATATGTTAGATTTTCAGTTATGGTGTATATGGGGAGGTGATTTTGGAGCACTAATCATTCTGAAGGATATTAGAATAATCCAGAACCTATACTGGCTGCAACCTACCTGTATATGGATAGAAAATGAATTCAGTAAATATATAAACATAGAAAGGCACATTAGACAATGATGTATCTTATTCAACCTATACAGTGAGGTAATTCTGAGAGAATTAGAAATCTTATCAGAATTCATTATTGGCAGCCATAATTTTAACAACATAAGACATGCAGATGACACAGTGTTGATAGCAGACACAGAAAGGAAACTGCAAAAATTCCTACAGAGGGTAGTGAAGGAAAACAAGAAATGACTAAACATCAACTGCAAGAATGCATGGTTGTTAGCAAAAGGGACAATGCAAATTACAAATTAGAGATACAGAAATTAAACAAATACACAGTGCGGCAGAAATACCTGCCATGTTTTAAAGATTGACAAAAAAAGCAAGGTAACTGCTATTAAAAAAATTATTTCACTGTTTAAACAAAGGGTTACAGCTTTTACTCACTTGATTTTAAAAGTGACATCCTCCAAATGGTGGTATTTATTTGCCATACACAGTTGTAGATGATTTGTAAAGATTTCCATCATCTGAAGTGTCATTTCTGGAAGTATTTCTGCCATTTTTTTTGGTGAATAGCATCCTTTATGGTTGCTGGTTGTAGACCTCCATTTTCAAGTAACTCCAGAGAAAATAATCACAGGAGGTAAAATTGAATGAGCGTCCAAGTTATCCAATGTTACTGCATATAGAAATCTGGAAACCCCTATCTCAAAGGTTCCACTGATCTTTTGGTGTGTGTGGTGGCTCCATTCTATTGAAACCACACTTGGTTGTTCAGTTTTGGTTTCAGAAAAGTCTACAGCATCACCATAGACCAGTCAGATGTTACTGTTACTGAGTGGTCTCTCTCTCCTCAAAAAAGTAAGGTGCCCATACACTAAATTTTGAAACTATACATTCCACACTCATTTGTTGTGTAAAGGTCTTTCATGAAGCTGTCTAGGGTTATTTTCTGCCTAGCAGAGAAAATTTTGCTTATTGACTTAGCCAGAGAGTTGAAAGTGAGCTTCATCACTTGTTAGAAGAACAGCATTTACTGAAACATTTTGTCACAGCATCCTGTGCGATTTTCCTAGTTGCATTCTTGCAGCTCATGAACAACCATTAATTTCTATGGATAGAACTTCAAACTGGTGTGTAAAATTCTTTTGACTGCTCAATCTAACAATCCCAAAGTAGAAGCATGTTTACGGGCTGGACATATAGGAGATTGCAAAAGATACTCACATTCTGTACATGTTCTGGATTTTGAGTGCTTCAAGGTTTTTCAGGTGGTTGTTTTTTAAATGCTGAACCTATAACCCTGAAATTTTCAGC